AGGAAATTACTGACTTGTTTCTTTTATCATTCACTAATAGTTGGGTTCACATAATGTACTATACAACACTGTATTTGGTTTCTATGTGTGTGTGTGTGTGACTCTTATGATATTAGGGATCCTATAACAAATAATTATAATCCTATAAAAAAGTTTGGTACATAAACATGTTAGAAAAGTGTATATAAAAAGCCAATTACTTACCCCAGATTTCAACAGTTTTTTAGCCACTTCCTTAGCATCCTTTTTTACTTCTGGTGCTACAAGAAAGTTAATGTTTCTTCTAACTTAAATTACAATATAGTTTTTATGGACTAAAAAAAACATTTAATCTACCTAACAGTCTTAACTTTGAAGCAGAATAATCACGTACTGTTTAATTATACAATATAAATGACAATAAAATGTATTTGCTTTGACTGTTGCTTAGTTAAACTAAGATATGAAATATATTTTTGGAATGACATCATTAATCAGATTATTGAAACCATTCCATTTTACAGAAACAATGAAATAGTTATGTAGACAGAAGTCAAAAGGAAAACTATTTTTATTGCATTTTTTTTACATCACTGTTAATTCTTGCTTATTATCTTGCTTACTAAGAAAATATGTTATTTAGAACTATAACTACACACAAAAATCACAATTATACTTAGCAGTTTCAACTATATTATTCTACTCAAAAACAAATGTTAAAAACTTACATATTAAAAAAAATTACAAATGTGAACATTTCAGGTATATAATTTTGGGGTGGGTGAGGGAAAGAGATCAGACAAAATTTTTTTAAGAATAATATTTTTGTGTGCTCTCATAAAAAAAAATGATGCACTGGATTGGAAGAGGTTAACTTCCAGATACACAAACTTCAGATTTGGCACCCAAGGCAACACTGAATAATAATAAAAAAAATTCATTTTAGAAAAAGTACATTATTTTATTAATTATTTTGTTAAAGATAAAGTAAAATTCATGGGACAAAGTGATTCTGAAATGTGCCAAATTTGAATTTCCTATAAACAGGAGTGTCAAAATAATGATTCTGTACATCCTAAGATACTACTTGTAATGTGTTGTGCACTGAAAGTTTTGTATTCACATTTTGGATTGTTTAACATAGTATGACAACAAAAACAAAACAACTGAAAGGAATTTTTAATTCTACTAATGCCTATTGCCAAATGGGAAAATGCCAAAATTGTGCTAATTTAAAATGATAACCTGTGTTTTTCTATCTTAAAGTATATGTAAAATTTCAGTCCATATTTTTGGTAATTCAACTCTAAGTTGATATACAGAAAGCTATTTAATAACAAAAATCACAACTGTCGTGAAAAAATAGCTGATAAATTAATAAAACCTAAAATTGCTTCAAATCTCACTGTCCTAACTTAACAAATTAGCCACCAAGATTTGGAATTTGGCTTATAATCAACTTTTTTCATGTATAAGAAGTTTGCTTTAGAATTAGCAAAAAACAACAACCCATGAATCTTCTGCTTCCAGAAATCTCTTTCAGTCATGTTAGGTGGAACTCTCAATCACATCAATGTTTGCACAAAGCTCTCCATGAAGTTTGAGGCTCCACATCATTATCACAACTCTTCTTCAACAAATATACATGAAGACAGAGAAAAGAAGTCAAAGTCACCCAAAACATTATCTCTAACTACTTCTTTCACCACTTTGTTTTCAGGTCTATCAAACACCTGCTAGAAGACTACGAATCCTGTAAAGGAGATCCAAGTTTCCAAGAGGCTCAAGCAGTTCATAATTTGTATCCTCTTTTTAAGTACATTGTCTAAATCCTCTCTAACGAACTTATGTTAAACTGATTAGAAAGTGTAGAGAGGAACATTTTCCTAAGTTGAAAATGTATTTCTGATAGATACTTTCCTATTCTCATAAACAGATTTTCTCGACTTAAACTGCCCTCTATAAGCACAAATATTTGCCCTCCACTAGCCTTGATACTCCCACCTACCCTCATGTATATTTTTGTGAGACATCTGCATACTATCATGCAGCAACTGTCCACCAATAGGAGTGCAGCACAACTCCTACTGTCCCTAGTGCCCTCTCTTCCATGCAGCCCTTATGAGGTTGGGTGGGAAATGTGAGAGGAGGTATCTATGAGAAATACATTTTCAGTTTAGGAAAATGTTAACTTCTGATAGAATATCTTATCTTCTCTCACAAATAACTAGAATCCCACACTGAGTTGGTGAAAAGATGATCCCCCTTTTGAAAGCACCCAAAGGAAGTCCATGGAGTGTGCAAATAAACAGAAGGCAACACTTCTGAGCCAGGTATACTCTGTGCCCACAGGAAAATGTGTTGCAATAAGGGTGGAAACAAAGGAGGGACCTACTTCGCATTATCACGTGTTTGCATCCAACACAACCATCACCATCTCCGCTGGGATGGTAGGAAGGTGGAGAGCAAAGTGGGGGTGCATTTCTAGTCCATCACCAGGTGTACTGGGAATGTATTGTCCAGTCTGCAGTAGGAGAAGAGTGCCTAGCCACACACATGTGAGGACTTATGTGGCTTGTCCAGCTACAACCATCACCATATCTGCCACGAACCAACATTTAGGGAACAGTAGGAAGAGGGACAGCAAAGTGTGGGTGCATATCCAGTTCACCACCATTTAGCATTGGGAATGTAACCTGATGTGAGAACTTATGTGGCTGGTCCAGCTCCAACCATCACTATATCCACCAGGAACCAACATCCGGGTGATGGTAGGAAGGAGGGGCGAACTGCATGTTAGCAGAATGCATCATCTAACACCTGATGGCATCTGGAATTGTACATCAGCTCCATGGTAGGATGAGCTTCAACACCATCTACACTGGTAGAAAACCACTGTCCTACTCTCAACTGAGTGGAATTGAGCACATTCAGGGGGAACCCTCCATGGTCCACCAACCAGTGGCTAGGAACTTGTAAGTGGCAAGGACTCCCATACTCCACTAAAAGAAGGGGAAACAATGTGTTGGAAAGTTTGAAAGAATTCTGCACTGGAGACAGTGCAATGGATGACTCCAATACTTTATTTTGAAAAGCAGGTTGATCCTGTGACCTACAATATATGGATCATTTGGATTGGCAGTAATCCCTGTTTGATTTACTCATGTTAGTCCATGATTGTTCAATCTGAGACGAACATCTTTATGAAGCAAAATACTGTGAGGCTTACCTACTTGTGGTCTTGCGGAATACCCCATCTCAATGGTAGGCATATATGACACACATCTTACAGTGTGGATTTAAGAATAAGTATACCTGGTCTGACAATATTCGCCAATTGCTACTGAGCAAGATCCAAATATCCAACAAAGGCCCCTGAAAAGAAAAAAAGGAGCACTTACCCACTTGAAGAGAAATCATGGAGCACGAAATAGCGACGGGAGGAAGATGAAACCCCCGTATAACAAGCAACAGCCATATGGTGAAGATAATGAGCAGTAAAGGGGTATGGGGAGTGGGCCACATACTGGAACTAATGATGTCCTCCAAAGGATGACAGAAATGAACAGCCAGGGACATGGTAAAGTTGTAAATTTGATGGGAAGAAACACAGAAAAGACTACAATCATCTGGAGAAAGGGAAGAATAAGCCTGGCAAATCCAACCCATAAGGGTAATTGGGGGAAAGGTCTTGGGACTAGAAAGGATTTCAAGAAATAGCAATGGGAGGGAGAACAGGATTTTGGGTCATGCGTTTACAAGCAGAGCATACAAGTCACCAATTGAGGAAATTTACATGTGGAATAAAGAACTCACACAGAGACAAGTGAATACAAATCAAATAGTCTTTTTATTTAACATTGTTGACAATATCATCTATATTGAAATCCCAAAGATTATCTTGAAACAACACTAACCCTAAATCATTGAATTCTTCATTCTGAAGATGTAAATGTTCCTTAATAATTAGTAAATCAACTATATTAACAGGAGAAATCCTCTCGATCATAATCTGTATAACTGTATTAACAATTATTCTAAGATATCTTTAAGTACTTCCACTTTAAGCATTTTAAAATCTACTATTTCCTTCGTACAATTATGTTCTTTTCTATCTTTATACATTATTGAACCTTATGTGAAACGTGGTTAGACTAGATCAGAAATAGCATACTTACAAGGAGTTTGTGCGGTGAACTTCTTCTAGATTCTGGATTACTGCCATCTTCTGGGGTCAGAACAATTCCCTGGTGTAACTTTTATAAGTGTGAAGAAATGATGTTTAGAGTGGGAAACATGGAATTACATAAACAATTTTTAGTCTTTTTCCGATTGTTCAAGAAGTTTAGCAGATCTACTTTTAAAAGTAGTTCTTTTAACTCGATTGGTACAAGTGGGGTCTTCCACTGATAAGTGGACTATTCCATCAGACTGTAACCAAAATCCACTTTGTTACTGGTCCTTATCTAATATATTTGGCAAAATCATCCAAGACTATTAACTTAGGGTGGATAGTGACAAACTGAGTAGCTCATGCCTCTTCACTAAACTTTATTCCCTCAGTTATTTTCCTCACCATTCCATTAACTGTTTTTGTTGACATTGATTCATTTTGTCAGGAGCTTTAAAGAATTGGGGTTTTATCTCAATATACCACATCTGTCTGGCACTGGAGTCCATAGCTGTGAAATTTCTTGCCTGTAGGTCAAGAGACAGAATTTGTCCAGGGCTAACTCCTGTGATGGGCTTCAGGCCTGTATCTTCATTACTTGGTATTGTGGTTCACTAGTATCCACATTTTTTTATAACATTTTCAATCTGCTGTTTTCTCCATACTATACATTACATACATTAAAAAATTTAAATGATTCAGATGTCCACATAAAAGTAGCCAACTCCCTACAAACTAGAGCTATCACTTCTGGAGCAGACAAAGCTTGCTTAGACACTATTGAAGTACCAAGCAAAGCAGCTTAGTTACAGCATCTGTGGCAGATGTTACATGGAATTCCATGTGCATGACTAGTGGAGTTGACTGGGAAAAGGAGAATTTTATCTCCAAAAAAGAATTCTCAAAACCATAAAAAAATTCAAAAAAATTATGACTGAGAGAAAAAAAAAACCCACAAGGCTGAAAAATTTAAGCAGTTAACTTGAGGAAATAAGCAAAAAATTCAGACAGAAAACATGAGCAAAATCATGTCCGAACAGTAAGACTGCCAATCGAGATGTGATTTAAGGCCACATGGATGAGAGGGCACTAGCGATAATAGGAGTTGTGCTGCACTCCTAGTGGTAGAGGGTTTCTGCATGATAGCATGCAAATGTCTCATGTGAATAGACTTAAAAAGATGGGAGTAGTGGCAAATGAAAATTTGTACTTATAGAGGGCAGTATAAGTCAAGTAAAGCCATTTGTAAGAGGAGGTAAGATATTGTATCAAAACTATTTTCTCAGTGCCATTCTTTTTATTATCACTCAGGCCTACATAAGTTAAAACTACTTGAATGAAAAATTATTATTGGATGTGAACTTTATCTTAGCTTCACATTTACAAAAACCTTGACAGCTAGTCTTGAATTGTCATGGAACCTTTCATTAAATGTGGTCTGAATCAAATAGTTTTATTTGGGAGAAACATGTTCATATATTCTGGTTGTGCTTACGTTTTGTACAAAATTTGGTAAAATTTATACTCAGTAGCTCTAGATGATTAGTAAACAAAATGCCAAGATAACCATTTTTGTACTTAGTTTTATTGCTTCTGAAAATTTTCAATCATTTCATAGCATTCAAAAAATTCTAAATAATGTCAGTAAATGTTTACAATATTTTTATTTTCTGTCTGCTTATGAGCTCACCCAAAAGTTTTGATAGACAAAGTTTGATTTGATTTTTCTCTACTATACCATTGAAATATATTATTTTTATTATAAAAACTTATAAATGAAAGTAACAAAGAATTTAAGTCTCTGTCAACCCCACTAAATCTACCATATGTTGATGAGGCCTTTTGTTTAACATCTGGGCTCATCAGGCTGGTCTGGATATAACAGACACGGTAGTGGTCAAAACACTATTTATCTCTATATTATTAATTCCTCAAACAACAAATATATAAGTGTGTAAATGAAAAAAAAGTGCAGAAGTATTTTGCTAACCCGTATTCTAGTAACTAGTTGTTTTTTTTCATCTGTTGAAAATAGAATTTGATCAAACAAAATGTTTAGTTCCACTTAATTTTTAACAGGCAAAACAATAATTACGCTTACTTTATGGTCTGTGTTTTAGATTACATTTCTTGCTATTTTTGTAGTTCGTGTGATAAGTGATAATGGTAAATGTTACATCAATTAAGCATACAAAACAAATCCATTTACAACATTATGTAATACTTACTGCACTTCACAGGATTTTGAACTGCTGGGGGCTCTTGCTTAGGTGTTTTTAGCTGAAGTAGTGCCTTTTTCTGGTATAAAAAAAAACATGTTTGCTAGCTTACTTGGATAAATATGAAAATAGCATTTCTAAGTACATATATTTAACTACGTGCAGTTTTTTATGTTATAACCTAGCACAAGATTCCTTCTCATTTAATTATGCAGAAAGTGGGAACTATAATGAAAATGTTAAAACATTTTTTTTCCTGTTAGCAAACTGAAAACTGATTTTTGTTATTAAAAACATTGAAAGGAAAATACACCAAATATGTAATTTATAGGACAAAACCTGTATTTTAGAAAACTGAATTAGTTGGAAATGTCTTGCTCACTCATGATATTAAGTTTTTATTTAATAATTCGTCATATAAGAGGCTTGTTAAAATATTATCTCTGTAAGTGTGGGAAAAGGTTGGCTTATTGTATAGAAAAGTGACTGGTTGGAAGAAAGCAGAGGGTTATTATAAACGGATTTAAGTAAAATTAGATTAATGTTACAAGTGGGGCACCTTTGCTTTTTTGATTTGCATCAGTGACATAGACGAAATAATGGTCTATAATTATTAATATTATTTGTTGATAATATTAAGGTTTTGGATGCTGCTGGCTATGAGGAGGAGGATGCTGTTTTACAGCACAATTTGGAATATTTGATGAGTTGGGCAAATAAATGGCACATGGTTTTTAATTATAATCAATGCAAGGTAATGTATGTGGGACACCATAATTTGAATTATAAGTATAATTTTGATGGCAATTATCTTAAAGTGTTATGTGGTAAAGGATCTTGGTGTTCTGGTTCATCAGTATCTTAAGACATCCAAACAATCTGCTATTACTGGTTGTAGAACAAACAGGATTTTAGGCTCCTTACCTTAGGAAGGACATTGAATTGTTGGAAAGGGGTTCAGAAGAAGCTACTAGAAAGATACCTGGGATGGAAAGGTTACCATATGATGACAGGTTAAGAAACTGTTTTCTCTTGAAAAAAAAAGGGTTAGAAAAGATCTTGTTGAGGGATTTAAGATTCTTAAGGGAATTAACCTTTTTTCATACGTAATGGTGAGAATAGTAGGACTAGGGGACACAGACATAAATTTTGGCAGGGTAGAAGTTATCTTTAGCTAAGGCAGGTTTATTTCTACAATTAATAAATTGTAAGTTATAATTATAAAATGGGTTGCCTCAGACACGGTGGATGCAGTTGAGGGTTCTCCATTCTAATAAACAAACTTAAAAGTAATCAAAATTTTAAATTAATCGGCCTTAAACCTGTCACAAAAATTCTGTAAGTTACAGATGTTTTTCCTTTGACATTTCACTTAAATTGTCCACTCCAGATTTCTAATCAAAGATGTGCAAAAAAATAAATAAATAAAACGGTTAGACCTACTGCTTTCAGCATCTTTTGGCATTTAAATGAGAATGCAATTTATGATATCTTTGAATTAAATTTTTTTTTCAGAATTAATTGTGAAAAAAGAACTAAAACTAGAGGAAAAACTTCCTTCTCTTTTAATTAACCAATTCATTGGGTGAAAACTCAGTCTTTACATTTTATTTTGTAACTTACCTAAGCTAACTCAAACCAGTTTGTGTTTTTCTTAACAGTAGAACAATTCATAAGCAAAGTTCCAAAATGTACTTGAATGATAAATGATTTAGTGACCCCAGGAAAAAAAAATGCACATTAGAAATAAAAATCACACATACCAAACATGGTAAAACTTTAGTTTTATATGTCAAAAATATGATCCCTTCATCAACTACATACAAATATAATAAATAAAATATGAGAAATAATGTCTGTTTTTATCATTACTTAATGGTGCCCTATATTGTAAATACAATAAAATTGGTATGGTATTAATACAAAATTTATCATAAATACTATCATTATGTAACTTCAAATAATTTGGTCTTACATGTCCTTGGCTAAATGAGTTAGATATTTAATGAGAGAACTTGTTTTATTATCAGTTCAGTAAAAACTCACTTTAAAAATTATAGTAGTCTTTTTTAAATGTGAAAAAGAATGGTGACCAAAGTTAATATACATTTGAAAATTCCTTTTTTTGGGCAGAAAAAAATCTAAAGAATCAATTAATGTGTTGTTTACAAGAAAGACACTTTAGTCACAAAGAAATGAAACTGTGAAATTATCTTCACATTTCTTTATGAATTACACTTTATACTAGAAAGGCCCTTGTAAGGTGTGAAAGAGTTAATTGGGTTTCTGCTTTTCTGGATGAGTAAACTCCAGTTAATATTGTGTATCTTGACTAATAAAGCCTATGATAAGGTGTCATATAAGGTTAATTAGCAAAGTGGATACTTATAAAATTACTGAAGATATTAAAATGTAGATCAAGAACATATTCACTGATACAAACAAGTGTTGTGATAAATGTGAAATCATTTTATAATTGAAGAATGTATCAGAGCTTGTTTTAGGACTTTTATAGTACAATACTTATGCTAATAATATTTATTGATGATACTCATGACACTGAGAAAAACTATTTCTAGAGAAAACATTCATTTATTCAAAAAGAGCTATACAGGCATAAACAGGACAGAAAATGATGATTCACAATACTGATATGTTACCTATGAGAATTCATAGTAAACAAGTACTTTGCAAAACATTTTACATGTCTTGTTTCAAATGACCAATTGTATGTTTTGTCATTTTTGAAGAACGTCTGTACAGATAATCTTAAGAACTACCTTGATCCACCATTTGTGAATCCTAATGTTAATTTCTTTAAAGCTAAAAATACTTATTTTGAATAATCCTTTATGTGTCCATGTCAATTTCCATGCAAATCCATTAAAGTGTTCTCAGACTACCCTTATGGGGGCTCAAATTTGAATATTCCCAAAACCTGAATTTAGAACACTGTTTTTCATTAGTTATATATCGATAAAGATACTCAATTCAGTTCAACTCTTCATGATTATCCTTGTGAATGTTATAAATCAACATAAAAAATTTCAAATTATTTTGTAAAAGCTGTGGGAGAAATTCAAAACCTAAGTAAACATAGATATGTATGTAAAATTGAAGATGATTGCACAGTGTGGTCACAAGTAAATAGACACCACCTTTTCAGAAAAAATTACATTTTTCAGTCATATTCACATGAATTGATATATTTATAATTTAATTAATATCCGGTAGATCTTCCTTTCGCTTCGTGGAGTTTGTTGATCCTTTGGGGCATCGTGAGAATCATCTCGTCCATTTTAGATTGTGGGGATTTTTGCCCACTCTTGCTTCAAAACTTGGAGTAGATCGCTCCTCAAAGATGGTTTTTTTTAGTTGTTTCTTGACTTGCCGGTCGAGTATGGCCCAGAGGTTTTCGATGGGGTTCATGTCAGGAGATTGGCTTGGCCAGGGCAACTTCTGGATACCATTTTCTTCCTGCCACTTTTGGGTGTTTCTAGCAGTGTGACACGGTGCTCCATCTTCCTGGAACAACGTTGTGTTCTTGACCACGAAACCCGAGGAATAAAGTGGCAAGAGTCCTTCCTCCAATATTTTGATGTATTTCACAAAATTTATGTTGCCAATGCACTCCACTAAGCTCGATCTCCCACCAACCCAAACAGCTCCCCAAACCATCATGCTGAAACCACCATGCTTCACAGTTGACTGCAATCTGTTGAGCCAAAACTCTTGGTGAGGCATTCTTCAGACCCATATCCTTCCACTGTTTGAAAATTGAGCGAATCTTGATTCGTCTGAGAACAATATGGTCTTCCAAAAGTCCAGAGGCTTGGTCATCATATCACTTGCCCACTTCTTTCATCTGACTATGTTGGCAGGTCTTAATAAGGGCTTCCATCTAGCTGCTCTGCAACGATAACCCAATCTGTAGAGAATCCGCTGAACAGATTTCGGGCTCAACCCACCAATTTTGGCCACTTCTGCAGTCGTTAATTTGGGATCCATTTCGATGCTGCTCTTGACAGCCCTTTTTGTCCTCTCCGATGGACCAGGACGACCCAGACGCTGCTCAGTTGTTTCCTTGCCATGTTTCCTGAACTGCACGATGATTCTGTTGACTGTTGAAAGCGGGATTCCCAAATTCTACGAAATTTGCCGCTGACTTATTCCACCATCTGCTTGACCAACTATCCTTCCTCTAACAAAAGCTGACAATTCGAGAGAACCTTGAGTTCTAGGCATGTTGTAGCATAAGATAATTAGTGTACGGACCATTTTCATTTATTTAGTGCTCTGTGAACACAAATTAGTTAGCATAAATCAGTTAAATGACAAAAAATTAGATGTCTATTTACTTGTGACCACTCAGTGTATATATGTTCCCTTTACACAAAAGAAGCAAGACATCAACAAATTGGAAAGAATTACATGGCATGCTAACGACATCTGGTTTAAGAGATGGGAGGTACAGTCTTTCTATGAGTGGTCTCTTTTTTTTTGGAAGTGGAATAAAGTAAAGTGTAATTACTAT